GGGGGGGGGGGAGCTGGGCTGCCTGTGCTGCATGCGGGTAGTGGGGGGAGGAGGTAAGAGGGCAGCACACATGGATAGGAGTGTGGGTGGGAGCTGGACTTTCTGCATGAATAGGAGGAGGAAGGGGGTCTGGGCTGTCCATGCTGCGAGGGAGAGCCCGGGAAGGAGGCCACCCACCCAGCAAGCGGCTCTCGGCCTGCAGCCCATGCCTCACACATCCTCTGGGACTGAATCCCACGGGGCGTGTGGTCCTCAGCTGCCCAGAAGTTGGACAGCCCTGTTCTCAACTATTCAGACAGCAAGTTGACATCAAACAGAAATGAAATCTCTGATGAAAAGCATCTTCTCACTTGACCTAAGAGCCATGTCCTAAAAGCACCTAAAAAGTCTAGGCACTCAGGAAATCCAGGTAGGTGCCAATTTTCAGGTGCCTAAATCTTATTGAGTATCTGGCCTTCAGGTTTTTCTGACCTTAGTTCCCAATGGTTTTCACTGAGACTTCAACTCTGAATCAACAATTTTTTACCATTAAACTCAAACCCTTAAGTCATCAGGGTGCTTTTAAAATGATGAATTCCTCATCGAGCCCCTGAGCCAGTTACCCAACACTGCCAATGCACCCTAACAGATCAGAATAATAGTATGCTCTTTAATTAGCCTGTAAATAGCAAACCCAACCTGCAAACGTGAGCATCACGTGCACAAACTCACAACTGGGGACACACTAAATAGGAAACATTAAAACGGTGTTATTTTGAAGTCATGCTATATACCAGGAGTCAGCAACTTTTTTACGCAGAGTGCTAAAAACACCCGCAACCTCAACTCATAAGATGCTGATGTGCCAGGGGCAGATGATGGGGGAGCCACAGGGGACCTAATTCCCGTTGTGGCAGCGCAGCCCCAGCCCCTTCCCCACCGTCCGCCCTGAGTTGCACATGCCAAGCAAAATGCCTTCGCGTGCCATGCTCTGGCACCCAAGCCGGAGGTTGCCTACTCCTGCTGTATACAGAACTTTTCATAAAGCCCCAGCACCTGGAATCACATGATTATATAAGACTCTCAGCTTTCATTTTATTATTATTTTTAAGTATATTTCCAGCCATCGAATTGTGGGAAAAGCTGTGAAAATGCAACCTTTGGAGCAGTGATTTTCAACCAAAGTGCCGCAGCACCCTGCGGTGCCTTAAGATCTTTTCAAGGCTGACACGGGGCACCATGCAATGTTAGCACTGTTGGTTTTGTGAACACAATTCATGAGAAAAACCCAGAGATTTCAAAAGGGATTCATAGCATTAACACCATTCTGACCTATCGCAGTCGTCCTGAGTTCTTTGCAACACAAGCATCGCTCTGTTATTTTCTGCAGTCAAAAAACAAGTGCAAAGTAAGAGCTGACATTTTTGGAGGGGTGCCTTGAGCCCCATGAGGATGCCACAAGCCAAACAAGGGATGCCTTCAGGCCAAAATGGTTGAGAACCACTGCCCCAGACATTATGAACCCAAAGACAAAAAAAGCTATGTCGAATCTTGAGATTTTTGGCCAATCCTGTGACTCAGGAGCATGGAGGAGCTTACACATGATATTTTAACATCTGGGATCAGAATACCCCAATGATTTTACACATCCTAAATATTATGCCTCTCAATGTCTTCTTCCATGTGCAACAGGTACAAGCGCCAACCTTTGGTGTTGCCTGTGCAAAGCAGGCGGACCTTGCTGCAACAACTCACCAGTAAAACCTGTTTGGTGTGATCCTCTCATGCATTAGCTGCCATCTTCTCCCAAAATCCATAGAGCTGTACAGCTGAAAGACAGGAAGAAATGAGCAATAGTATAAATAGCAACAAAGGAGGGGTGATTGCTACCCAAACAGGAACTAAAACCAATTCTGAGCTCCATGAGGTCCGAATATATTAATAGTGCAGGGGTCCACAATTAACTATTAACCTTGCTCTTTGGGAAAGGCAAATAAGATAATATCCTTCTCTCCAATTTTACCCAGACTGAACCTTTGAGGTTCAAAAGAGGTTTATTCAGCCATCTTCCTCCTAATACCCTTTTCACACATCTCTGTACTGCCTGATTTCAGCTGTCAACACATTCACCTGCATTATGGTATAACAAAGCAGGCCGTTCCTATGGCTTTTCCAGCTCTTCAGGAAGCTGATGATTGATGACCTATATATTCCTAACTTTAAATTAGATTAAAGGCAAATTAGATTACTTAGCTCAACTATGGAGGTATACAGTGACACAGTGTAAAGGTCACATTGTAATTTGCTTTCATAGTGGGAGTTAAACCCCTTTGTTAGATCTGAAAAAATATGTAATAGCCCCAAATTTGAAAACATTTACTTCCAGAGTAAAACCCACATTGTCAGAAAAGTTAGAAGTCAATTTACACAGCAGTTGGGGTGTTAAAGGCACTTAAAATGGCTTTTTTTTTTGAAAGGTCGACTTGAGATCTAATATTTCTTTTGATTCCCTCCAGCTAACAAATGACAGATTTGTAACACATCCAGATTTCCATGTAGCTCCAGTCTAAATCTCACACACAAGCTAGTTTTATAAATATCCTACTCAACATCACAACCTACCCCGTTCCTACACCGTTCTACAACCACCTACCATCCAATTACTTAAAATCAAACAACACAAGCAACCTTTACTTCAACCTTGAAACATTCAGGTTTCTAGGAAATGCATCAGACTTTGAGAACCGTCTACTCTGCACCGCAGCTGCATCATGGTGGAAGGAATAGCAGGCAGCGATTCAAACAAGGGGGGGAATTATTCTTTAATAGAACAAACTTTGATTTTAGAGAGTGTCTGAAATGAAAAGAACCGCTAGTCAACTGCATGAAAGGCTAAAGACGTAGATATTAGAGAGATGGAGGAAGATTGTATGTTGCTCAGGTCAAAATTGTAGATCTTTAATGGAAAAATGATAAGGCTGGTGTTAGGGTGGTGCATTTGATTCTATTTCAAGTAAATGGATTTATGGATTGTGGGCAAGTCCAGGTTTCTATTGAAAGGGATTAGGTCCTGGTGACTGATGGCTCACATGTACTACTGCGTGTGATGATGAAGATAAGCAACACAGGGTTGGACTAGATGTTTCCTTAGAGAATTATTTCCTAGGTGTACTAGGCCAAATCTGATAGCTTTGCACGGAGTAGTCCCACCGATTTGCTCAGCTTAAGGCTGGCAGAGTCAGTCCTTTGGGTTTATGCTGATGGAAAAAGGCACTTAATCGAACTCGACTGGCAGTGCACGGGGTTTACTGGGAGAAGAGATCAATGCAGCCATACGCAGAACATTTAAACAAAGATATGGTAGTTTGGACATGCTCAACTTCAACCTTATGTCAGTGGGATGAAGAAAATATTTACTGGGTAATATTCAGTGACCTGTGTTAGGGAGGTCAAACTACATCATCACAGGGATCCTTCCTTTCCTTAAAAGCTCTGAATCAACTAAATGATAGATTTGATACATCTTTCAACATCCAAGCACCACTGTGATGACGAGAGTCTCAAATGATTTAGCTGTTCCTTCTAGTCCCTAATTACTTGCTAACTGAGACGAGATGCTCTGTCAAATTGCTGACTTCAGAAAAATGCTGCCACTAGTATAAAGTGGCCAAAGTCTTTGTGTAAAGTCTTACTATGTTCATTTGAACTTAACATTCAAAGCTTTTACTGGTCACCCATCCCTCCTGTTCTCCAGTAAAGCCAGAAAAGAAACTCCCAAGCCAAAAGAAAATCTTAATTGACGCAGAATAATGTATTGCCCATCTATTTCTTAATTAAACGGGCGGTGACAAGAAATTTCCTTATGCAAATTCTACGACAGGCTTGTGAAGGCAGCATCAATATTGAGATAATTATCTTCCGGGAGAACATCCTCATTAACAAAAAAAAGCCCTCAAAATCAGCAGCACAAATTCCTCATCTTTGTTCGTATTAAGAGGGCACTTCCCATTTAAAACATGGTCGCACGCCACTCGGCTTTATCTATCCCAGGACCGTTGTGCAGGCTGGCATCTCATAAGGCAAGTCAAATTACTTGATCACCCCAATCGTTTCTGGATTACTTTGATCAAAGGCGTGTCGGCCAAACCAAGGTGCGGTTGCAAATCACTGACGTTGGAAAGATGCTTCCAGCTGAGTCCCAATGCTCAGGAGGAACCAAAAGTCCTAATGTTTTTACTCTACTTCCATTTTGATTGCTGTGTACCATGTCCCATTCCAGCTATTAAGGGAGAAGGATTAGCACCTGCCTTGATTTCCTTGGGTTTTATTGTCTTCCCCCCCGCCAAGAATTTTATTTTTCTTTTATAGGTCCATAGCTACCGCGGGTATGGACAGCTCAATGGCGCTTAGCAGTTCTCGTTCCAGCCTCTCATCTGCCCTATAGCAACTCATCTAACGAACATCCTTCTCTCTATCAAGTTAAGAGCCAGAGACCAACTGCTGAGTATTTTTTTGTTCACCTTTCTATTAGATCTTGGGTTGACTGATGGTAGAAGGATTAAATTGAACTTGCAGCCTTTAGGCAAATTCAGATAAAGAAAAAAGAAGGATATTATGCATGGTGGGGGGGAATGCATTATTTATTTATTCACCTCTTTCTTTTCAGCATCCAACTTGAGTTTTAACTGAGAGCAAATGATTGAGACTAAAAATTGGAGGGCTGTAGAGAAGAACACGTCACTTTGGCCTAGTTCACGTCACCACCGTTTATATGCCCTTATTTACTGACCCATATAGAAGGGCTAATGTTAAATTACCAAATAAAAAACACATAATAAAATACAGGTTTTTGCCAACATAAAAATGGTGCATGCATGCGCTGTCCCTTCACTCTGCTCTCAAGCTCAGGGCTCTAATGTAAGAGGGGACAGGAAATGCAGGGGTAAAGTCAAAAGATTACAATCAAGATTAATTTTCCCTGAGGTTCAACGTGGATCAACAGACAGGAATTAGATTCATTTGGAGCAAACCTTTTTTTTTTTTTTAAATAAAAGTTCTAGAAAGTCTCTCCAAATCAGTAATATTTGGCCTTCCAACCTCCCCCTTCATCCAAAGAGCTTAACTCAATTTAGAGATAACGATTCTATCGCAGAGTCTTTCAAGTCTTGACATCTCTCTCCAACCCAGTTTTGCAAAGTACATGTTTAGCTTTAAGGGCTTTGCTAAATAAAAAGAGACTTGAGCGTGCATCTCAAAGACACGTCTAAACAGGGCCCAGTAAGGCGAAATGGCCTGACACTCATTTTGAAGCAGAGCCTGGAGCCCAGGCCATGAACCTGGACTCCCAATCATGTGTTAATCCAGGTTTTAAATACAAGCAAATTCAGTGTCCACCAACGTAAAGATTTTCATAGTGCTCATTAACCCCCTTTGAGAATGGGAACCGCAGGTGGGTGCTGAACACTTAGGAAAATCCAGCCACTTCATTTACATGCTGAAATAGAAGCTGAGCTTTAAAAATAATAATAAATGAGTTCCTCTGCCAAGAGACTACCCGGTGCATGCACAGCAGTGTCTAGGACACGATGCAGCATGGTCACACCTAGGAGCATATAGTATTTGATATGCAAAAATCCCAGTACTAGACACATCAAGCCTAACAATCCCCAGCTACAATTGCCAAGCCAGGAGTGAAAACCCTCCAAGGATGGAGAGTCCACAACCTCTCCGAGTGACCTGTTCCAGTGTTTTACTACTCTCCTAGTAAGAAAGTTCTTCCTCATATCCAACCTCAACTTGCCTTCCTCCAGCCTGAGCCCATTGTTCCTTGTCCTGTCATCTGCCCCCACTGAGGACAGCCCAGCTCCATCCTCTTTGCAGCCCCCCTGCAGGGAGGTGAAGGCTGCTATCAAATCTCTCCTCGGTCTTCTCTTCTCCAGACTAAATCAGCCCAGTTCCCTCGGCCTCTCCTCAAAAGTCCTGTCCCCCAACCCTGAACCATTTTTGTTGCCCTCCACTGGACTCTCTCCAATTCCTCTACATCCTTTCTGCAGTGGGGGCCCACAGCTGGACACAGGACTCCAGATGTGGCCTCCCCAGTGCTGAATAGAGAGGAAGAATCACTCCCCTTGACCTACTGGCAATGCTCCTACCGATGCAGCCCAGGATGCCATTCGCCTTCTTGGCACAAGGGCACACTGCTGCCTCCTGTTCAGCTTCTTGTCCCCTGTCCCCCCAGGTCCTTTTCTGCAGAGCTGCTGCCCAGCCCATCACCCCCAGCCTGCACCGGTGCAGGGGCTCCCTCCTCAGGGCAGGACTTTGCATTTGTCCTTGTTGAGCCTCCTGAGATTTGTTTTGGCCCAATCCTCCAATTTGTCTTGGTCACTCAGAATCCTAGCCTAGATCAAGTTAGTTATACAGATAACTTGATTTTATATAATGGTAGTCAGAAGGCTTCATGTTTGGACTCTGAAAGCACTTTACTTGATTTATTTAGCTCTCAACAGCACTTCTGTGAAACAGAGAACAAGCCATTTCAGGAGGGGGCCTTACCTCCGTGTTTTGTACAATTCCACGCACATAAGGTACTAATCATTTCTGATGTTTGAAAGAAAGACTTTTCCCCTCCCAAAAAAATGCATACACCAAAATTCCTCCATTCTGCTTCAAACTTTCAGAGCATGGTTTCAAGGGAATAGGCTGTTTTGTTGAGTTGTTCAGCTGGCTGTTTTTGTTTTCTATGCTTGTTTTTTTTCCCTCCTCCCTATTGAATCATGCAAAAGCGTGAAAAGCTGATTTTGCTCAAAATGTCACACTCATCAGGTTTGGA